CTGGCACAGGGCAGCCTCCCTTCTGCTGTGTGGGTCTGGATGTCTCTGGGCAGTGGGACCCTCAGTTTTGGACATGGCAGTGCTCTGGCAGCAACAGTCCAGCTCCCCGTTGCTCCAAGGTGGGACAGCTTGAACAGCACCTGGCAGCCAGCTGGAAGCCAGGGCTGCCTCAGGGCTCCAGCACAGGGATGTCACCGTCTTGCACAGGGCTCTCAGAGCATTTGGGGTGTGTTTTCCCTCCACTCTTTGTAACAGGACCTTCTCAGAGCAAACAAAGGCACTAAAGAGCTGCTTGTTCAGAGCTCCTGGATCCACCAGGGCTGAGCCCCTGGGTCACCTCCCCATGGAGAACAGGCAGTGGGGCTGTGCCTGCACAGCAGATGCCCCCTCTGTTATTCCCGTTGGTGAGAGGGAGACTGCCAGGGGCTGGGGCACAGGCTGGACCCGAGGGCAGACATTTGGGGGTACTGGGCTGTCCCTCTCTCTTCCCCACCTGGTGCTGTCAGGGTTTTGGCAACGTGTGAGCTGGAGGGTCATTGTGCCCATGGCTCTGCAGAGCTGGAGTAGTGACAGGGAATGGTTTCCTGAGCACAAAGCAGGCCTGTGGAAGGGCCAGGCTGATGCCGTGAGCTGTCTCCTGCCACCACCATGTGTGCAGGTTGGACTCCTGTTGAGGGCACGTTTTCCATGCAGACCACAACAAACAGACCCAAGGAAGTTGTCAGGAAGGCGAATCACCTGCCTGCCCTCAGATTGCCACAGCTCTGGGTGTGAAAGCCCAGGCTCAGTGAGGAGGAACCAAAGGTGAACTGTTCCTCTGTCCAGAATGGGCCTCAGGGCCTGGCACAAAGAGCAGGCAGCACTCTGGCCTCGGGTAGGAGACCCTGCTGGGAGAGCTCCATCCAAACCTGAGGCTCCCTCCTGTGTGCTCAGGCAGCTGGCAGAGTGCAGGAAATCCCAGTGGACTGCTGGGAGCCTCCGGGCAGCCCTCGGGGTGGGGGGGCAGAGCTGGGGTGGTGTCTGTCCATGAGGTGACACCCAGGGCGATTGGGCACTCGCCCCTTGGCCAGAGGGGTGTCCCAGCACCGCCACCTCCTGAGCTGTGCCTCAGGTGCAGGAGGGGCAGAGCTGGAGCAAGGGCTGGTCATCCAGGGGGAGAGGCAGCTGTGTGTGTGTGGCAGGGCTGGAGCAGAGTCAGGCACCAGCTCCTCCCTCCAGTCCAGACACAGCTGGGGAGGGTGACACCTCCTGGGAAAACTCCGCCTGGCTCTTGTTCCTCTCCGTGGTTCCCGTGTGACTGACCCGGCCCCTCTGTGCCCCTCTGTGCCTGCAGTGTACGTCGTGGAGGAGCGGCGGAGGGACGACACGGGCGAGAGCGCCTGCCTGACAGCCTGCTGGACCGCGCTGTGCTGCTGCTGCCTCTGGGACATGCTGACCTGAGCCGCCCGCCGCCCGCAGAGCGCTGTGCAGCCTCCCCACTCCTGCCCCCCGACTTCTTTTTTCTGTTACTGTAATCAACTGCTCTGCTTTGCACAGCCAAGAGGTTCCCGTCTGTCCGTCCTAGCGCCTTGTCGGGGGTGGGGGGGTGCAACTCCTTTATTTTAGTAAAGGAAAAGGAGAGGAAAAAAAAAAAAAAGGAGAAAAAAAAATCCCTTTTTAACATTTCTAAGACTTTTGTTGTAACTTTGAAGAATGTGCTGATGGTGTATTTCAGCCAAAGGCATTCTGATGAAATGTATATTTACCAGTTGAGATTTTCCTAGCCCTAGAGACGAAGACATACGCAATAATTAAAGCCAACAGTTGATTTTCTTCGCTAGGTCCCGGCTGTTTCAGTCAATCTGTCTGCGCAGGGTCAGTGTCCCCTGGTGCTCTGTGTCCTCAGCCCCCCACGGGCACTGGCTCTGCAGGTGGGAGTCCCGGGTCTGGCACCTCCAACCCCCTCATCCCACACAGGGCGGCACAATTGGGTTTTCATCCCTCGGGGCTGGGCGGGCACATCCCCTTCTGGGACCAGCGCCCTCTCCAGCAGCTCCTGGAGAAGCACAGGCTGAGCTGCTGCAGCTCTTGGGGAAGGACTGATCCCAAGCTGTGATCCATCATCCCCTGCTGCAGAGCAGAGGCTTGCAGGGGGTAAATTAATGGATAAGAAGATACAAGGCCATGGATTAATTTAGTGCAGAAGATTTAGAGCTGAAGCTGTTCCATGGCACGCCTGGCCCGAAGAGGGATAAAAAGCTTTTGTCTGCAGAAAAGGGGGAAAACCTGCTGCTGATCCCAGGGAGTCACATCCCACTGCCCCCCCAGCCTTGGGACCAAACCTGATGCACACACCAGCTTTGCTTTGCAGTGCCTGGAGAATGCTCAGGGATCTTGGATCTGTTTGCAAAGGGCACTGCCCTCGCTGTCCCTCGGCTGGCCCTGGTGCTCTGTGCACCTCAACTCAGAGCTCAGCAGTGCAAGTTTGGGGCTCTGGTCTGGGGTTTGGGGTTGATGAGAGCCCCTGGCAGCTGCCTGTCCCCAGGAGCCTTAATGCCCCTTGCCTGCCCCCCTGCAGCCCTAAGCTCAGCTCTGTGGCTGGGTTCCCAGAGCTCCCAGGAATGGGTGCTGTCACCTTCCCTGTCACTGTCACCTCCCTGGCAGCTTGGCAGCTGCGGGGGCACAGGAGGGGAGTCCCTGGCTCACCCTCTTCTGTTGGTGGGAGGGAAGTGGAGTGTTGGGCTACCCTGTGCCCATGGCCCTCCATGCCCCCTCCAGCCCTGTGCTCCCCGCCTAGACTGGTTTTGGCTCTTCCCAGCCAAGGGAATGGCTCTGTCCCTGCCAGGCCTGAGGAAGCCTCAGCCCTGCACACTCCTCTCAGCTCCTTGCCCTGTCTTGGGTGCAGCAGGAGCTGCTCCCAGCAGGGGAGGGGGTGAGGACTCAGTTTTCCTGCTCTGGCACCTGTCCCAGACACCAACCAAGTGGCTGCAGCAGCGCTCTGGGTGCCACAGTGCCCGTCCTTGGGGACAGGCAGGGCACGTCACATCTCCCATGCTCCAGCAGCAAGGGCCACCCCAGGTCCCAGCACACCAGCTGCCTGGGCTGTGGGAGAGCTCAGGCTCTGCCAGTCCCCAGTGGGCCTGGGCACCCCTTCCCCATCCCAGTGCCAGGGCAGGGCAGTGGGTGCAGCTCTGGCAGCCTCTGCAGGGGGGAGTCTCTGGCCACTGCACCAGAAAGGGGCTGACCCACCTGGCCAGGCCTACACCCTGCAACCCAAATGGGGACAACCTGGCCCAGGGCCCACCTGTTTGCCCACCCCAGCACCTGGAAGAGACACCAGGACACACGGAAGCCGAGGTTGGGAAGCGGCAGATGTGGCTGCTCACAGTGGGTGATGGGGTGAAGCAGGTCTGCACACACACAGGAGCTCAGAGTCCCCCCGGGAAGGGAGCCCACCCACAGCCCGGCCAGGGGTCTCCCAGCCCCTCACAGGCCCACCCCCAGCCCTGGCAGAGCCCATGGGCACATGCAGGCAGGAACCCAACCAAGATGCCTTGTCCAGGGCCTTTCCCAGGCCTGTCCCCACAGAGCTGCAGCCCCGTGTCCAGCCTACAACCCATCCCGGGGCAGCCCCCAGATCACCTTTGGGGTTACAGGGCTGATACCTGGGAGTGGGACACTTGGATGCAAACTGTTTGGGATTGCACAGGACTTGTTATGGGATGTTTCAGGGAGGCCCCCGAAGGTGCAGGTGATTTTTAGGAGGAAAGCAGCTGAGGTGTGGGGCCCAGCAGGGTGACCCACTGGTCATTGCTCTTGTGCAGCACCTGATCCCCCCGGTCTGTCTGAGCTTATCGAATTCCTCCTAAACACTCTCCCGCATGGGGCTCCCTCCCTGCCCGTGTGTCTGCAGGGTGTGAGAGCACCGGGGGAGAGCAGCCCCGTGTCCGTGGGGCAACCGTGGGATCACCGGCGGAGGTGACACGGGACCCGCTGGTGACACAGCTGGTGGTTTGGGAACCCGGGGGCAGCGAAAGGCCGTCCCAGAGTGTGGCAGCACCCGCGTGCCCGTGGGATGAGAGCGCGGGGGTCGGCACAGGACCGGGAAACTCCTGCCCGGCTCCAAGACCCCGGGAGGAGCGGGCGGGGGCCGGGCCGGTGCAGTTCCCGCAGGGGCCACACGGTGGCGATGTCCCCTCGCGCCGGGGCGTGCGGAGCGGCCGGGACAGCGGGAATGGCCGGGAGAGAGGGAATGACACGGGAGAGAGGGAATGGCCGGGAGAGAGGGAATGGCCTGGGACAGTGGGAATGACACGGGAGAGCGGGAATGGCCTGGGACAGTGGGAATGACACGGGAGAGCGGGAATGGCCTGGGACAGTGGGAATGACACGGGAGAGAGGGAATGGCCTGGGACAGTGGGAATGACAGGGGACAGCACGAATGGCCTGGGACAGTGGGAATGGCCTGGGACAGTGGGAATGACATGGGACAGTGGGAATGGCATGGGACAGTGGACAGCGGGAATGACCTGGGAGAGAGGGAAAGGCACAGGAGAGCAGGAATGACTGGGACAGCAGGAATGACATGGGAGAGTGGGAATGACCCAGGAGAGAGGGAATGGCCCAGGACAGTGGGAATGGCCTGGGACAGCAGGAATGACCGGGACAGCTGGACTGGCCCAGGAGAATGGGAATGGCCCAGGACAGTAGAAATTGCCCGGGACAGTGGGAATGACCACCCAGCACGGGCTGGCTGGGCCCATGCTCATGTCCATGTTCCATGCCCATGTCTGTGCCTGTGCCCATGCCCATGGCTGTGCCTGTGCCCGTGCCAGCCCTCCCAGCCTCCCTCTTCCCCCCACTCCTGCTCTCCAGCAGGACCCCTCCACCAGCCTCCCTGGTGCCCACTCTGGGCAGCACTCAGGGGGTGTCTGCAGGACGAGGGCACAGTTGCTCCAGGGCAGCAGGATTCCTTGCAGGCCCCTCACCCCAAATCCCACCACACCCCCCCGGGAGAGCAGCCAGAGAGACACGAGTTTTATTGAGGTGGGGAAGGAGGGGGCAGGCTGTGGGGATCAGCCCAGGACACCCAGGGGTGCCACTACTGTGCCCTGCGGGCCATCAGCATCTGCTTCCTTCACACTCCGCTCCAGGTACGACTTCTTCTGCTGCAGGGCAGAAAGCAGAGGAGAGTCAGGGTCCCCCAGCACACACCAGGGTCCCCCAGCACACACCAAGGTCCCCCAGCACACACCAGGCCCCAGGGCCACCCAGGCAGAGCTGGCCCAGCCACCCCCCGGCCCTGCCGGTGTCCCCACGTGGGGACAGTGGTTACACATTCCCAGAGGCACAGGGGCAGTGGTAATGTTTTACACAGACTTTGAATTTTGTTCCCACTGAAACCTCCCCCGAAAAAAAAGTGGGAGACGTGAACCACAGCAAGGAAGGAAATCAAATCAGATCCTGTAACTCTTGGAGCCCAGAGAGGGACTGACATGCTGAGGCCTCCTTATGGAGACACAGCAAAACTCCCTCCTTGGGCACAAAAGGCTCTTTTTCCCAGCTGGGCCATTTTCTAACCCCAGACCCTCCTTTCTATCAGAAATTCCCTGGCATAGTCACCAAATACGTGTGTTTCCTTAATCATCTGTAATTAGGCTGGGCTTGGCAGGGAAGCAGCCCCAAGCCGTGCATCCCAAGATAGGAATTCAGCATGCAGCGTTTTTTCCTGCTAGTCTGGGTGCTCCTCTGTGACTGGAAAAATCAGCACTTGGCTCTCCTGACTATTTTCTCTGGGTTTCCAAACAACAGACACAACAGTCTCCTCCAGCAGCGTTGCTGTGAGCAGGGGTGGGCCCACTCCATGACTGGATGGGGGGCCTTGGGAATGTCCCCAGGGCTGGGCTTGCCCTCAGTGGCACCTGCAGCACCACTGGCACGGGGCCTGCTGTCCTCACAAGGGGCTGGGGGACACTTTGGCACAGTGTTCCCCCTGCCCCATGGGCGTCACAGCCCCACACAAGCCCAGGGAGCTTGTATTGATAAGCACTGGCAGGATTGTTATTAAATTCCAGAGTCCAGGTCTCAGCCCAGACCATCCTGCCATGAGCACCTTCCCAGGAGGTGAGCACCAGGAGCCAGGATGGCAGGAATGACCCCCAAAGGCCACCCAAACCAAGCACAGGTGAAGGGCAAGAACTGCTGATGCTGCCCTGAGAGCCTCACCCCAACTCCTGTGATCCCACAGGAGCTGGGACCCGCAGTGCTGAGAATCCCATTAGCCCATGGAGCAGCAGTCCTGCTGCCACCACTGTCCCTCCATCCTAGGCTGTCACATGGCTGCACACTCGGCTGGAATGCCCATGCCATGAGGACAACTCTCCCAGCCCTGTTCCTAAAGGCTGAAGGGTTTTTATTTAAATACTAAAGGTTCTTGGTGACGTCCAGGGCCAGGGATACAGCCAAGGAAGGGCTCCTTGTCCCTCTCCCGGGGTCCCTCTCGCTGACAGGAACTGCTTTTGAGGAAACCACAGGGAGAGGAAGAGCAGCCACGGGTTCCCACTGTCAGTGAGTCAGTGACACACCAGCAGGACTCTGTCACCACCACACTGTCCCCACACTGCCCGGACAGGCGTCGAGGGATTTCACACATAGGGAACTGAGCCTGAAGGTTGCAAGAGGTCACAGGGCCTGGAAAACCCTCGTGGGTCTGAGCTCTGCTGACCAGAGCAGAGTGGCAGCAGTGGAGCTGACTTCTGGTCAGTCATTTATTGCTAAAACCATTTTTTAACACCATTAAATTAGCCTATGAAATGGTTCTGCCTTTCTGCCCTCTCCCCTGCCATGTCCCCCACGGACCCACAATGCCCATTCCTGCACAGGGACATGCTCTGCGCTCCCAGGGGAGCAGGGCTGCCAGAGCTGCACAGCCCGTGGCAAAGGCAGAGGGTTTAATGCCATTTCTGTACTCGAGCAGCACCGGCAGCCTGAGGCAGGTGAGGATGGAGGGAAATTTTTCTTTCCCTCAATCACTCTCCTTGGTCACACAATGTCTGGGACGAGAGGATCTGGGCTGGTCCCGACACTTTTACTCCTTCCTCCCAGAAGCAGCCTGCAGGGAGTCCCATCCCTGGGCTCCAGGAGCATCACTTGGGCATCCAGTGAGCCCTGCACCCGCAGCTGGGGGGCTGCAAACCTCCCAGTGAGTCCTGCAGGCGGGCAGTGCCCGAGCCAGCACGGTGGCTGATCCCACTCTGACCCCCGGATCACGGGCAGCGAGGAGCAGACGGGCGCCACATTTTCCGAGACACGTGGCACAAACGAGGTGTTCCTTCCCCAGGAACTGCAGCCCGGTTTCTGCTTCGGCAATCACCGGAGAAGCAGCAGGAGCCCGCGTGCAAACCCCTCCTCGCCGCGATTACTGGGGTCTAGACAGGAAACTCCGTCTCTCCCGCCGAGCGAGGGCTGACACACGCTCTGCCTACTCACACCAGAGCCCAGAGACACGGCAGCGCAGCTCTGAAGTCACGCTGGAGGCTGTTCCGGTCCAGCCAGACCTGCCAGGCTGGTGGTATCTGTTCCCTGAACACCACCCCGCATCCCAAACCCCACCTCCAGCTTCCCCAGCTCGCAGCTTTCATCTGCACTCGGCCTGGACTTGCAGCCCTAGTTAACCCTTTGTCCTCTGAGCCCCTGGTTTGGGCTTCACCTCAGCACCCTCTGAGCTGATGCATTTCCCTGGGAAGGTGTGTTCGCCCCTCCAGGTGGATCCTCCTCTGCTGCCACAGCAACCACAGTCCGTGGGAATTCCCAGTGCAACACCAGAACTGCGCTGCTGGTTCGGGTCCCTCATTAACCTAAAGGTGGCTGCTGCTGTCTGCAGCCTCTGATTTCACTTCTAGAGCTGTAGCTCCAGTGCTCACCAGTCAGGAGCCCAAGGGAACATGGCAGCAGCCCCAGGGGACGTGGCAGCAGCCCCAGGGGGCACGGCAGCAGCCCCAGGGGACACGGCAACACACTGGCCCACCGGCTTTGGTGGCTGCATGACCTGCGAGCTGCTGATCCAGAGCTCCTGCCCACTCACCACATCAGTGCCCTAAGCTGCTACCTCCTTCCCCCAGCTTCTGTGGGCCTCTGGCCACCTAAACTGGGCACCCAAACCAGCCCCAGATGCCACTGCCTGAAGCCCCAGAAATCCAGGGAAGGACAGAGAAAGGAGACTGGCTTTGGGAAGGTGGCGGAGGGAAGTAGCCACATGACACTGAGCTCCCAGAAAAGCCCCACTCCTGGCTGGTCAGGCTCTGCAGGAGGCTGGGCAGTGCCCCGGGGTCTGTCCCCCTGCAGTCACACCGGGAGTGTGGCAAGGCAGTGATGAGGAAACACGGAGGGCACGGCAGGAAGCAGCTGATGTGTCAGCCAAGGGCTCCGGCTGCAGCGAGGAGCTGGTTCCTCCTCCTGAGGCACAAGTCCCACAGCCACTTGCTATAGAGATTTTATTTTACCACCGTGCAGAACACACTTGTGGGGTGTTGCTGAAGCTTCTTTCAGAGGAACAGCCTCTGACCAACCCCTGCCAGCCCCCACTGCTCCCGGGAAAAGGCCAGTGTGTTCCCATGACCCAGGCACAGCTCACTCAAACAGGGAGGGATGACCCGGGACTGCAGGTCCTGTCAGAGCTGGAGAAGCTTCTCCCCCACAAAGTGAGAAAAGGGAGCTGGAAGCTGCATGGAAAAGGGCACGTGGGAAGGGAGAATTAATTGCAGCTACACATTTCCAGGTGGACAGCACGCTTTGCACGCACCCCAAAACCGAGCCAGCTGACCTGCCCCAGCACAGGACAAGCTCTTGCATCCTCACACGTTCCCACCACAGGCCACCCACCAGCTCTCATCCACTCCCTTATCTGTGGTGACAGCCCCCTGATCCCCTCCTGCCCCTCACAGAAAGGGCTCTGCCATCTCCATCGGGACACGAGACCAACACAGAGCCACTGCCCCAACCCAGCTGGGTCTGGGCCTCCTGCAGAACAACTGAGAGGGTGCAAAGCCACAGAAGATGCCCCCAAAAACCCAGTGCAGTCAATGTCTCCCAGCCCAGTTTCCCAATTTCTTCAAGCTAATCCTACTGCCAGCAACAGTCCCTTCCCCAGCCAGGAAGGGCTGCAGCACTTGGGAACGAGACAAACCACAGCCCTGATGATCTGTCTCAAAACCAGCCCCAAAGGAAGTGTTCTCACCTAAATCTGCTTTCTGGAAGCAGGTTTGCCATGCTAATGACTGCCTGGCACTGGGATGGAGAGATGGAAGAGATGACCAAGGACTCCTCCTTGGGCACCAGAGCCAACCCCACAGGCTGGGCCTCCCACCACCTCCTGGGGGCCCAGGAGCTGGGATCTGCACCTCTCCTGCCCCTGACTGCAGATGTGCCACCAACCTGGCCCATACTCTCCCCTTCAAGCTCTTGGGAGCCTTCCCCACTTCAAAGGCTCCCTGTAGCCTCCCTAAACCAGGCAAGGGGTGAACCTGTGTGTGGTCAGTACAGCTGCATGGAGTAAAAACACCACCTCCCATGTCATCAGAGATGCAGCCAAAAATAGGACTGGCCACTCACACAGCCCCATCTGACAGGCAACACATGTGCACCTCCCAGGAACCCTTCCCTGGAGGAAGGGTGGCTGTGCAGCCAACAGCTCCACCAATAGAGCCACAGGGCCCATCAGGGAAGGTACCACCACAGAACCACAGAATCAGCTAGGCTGGAAAAGACCTCTGATATCATCAAGTCCAACCTCTGACCCAACACTACCTTGTCACCCAGACCGTGGCACTGAGTGACACGTCCAGTCTCTTCTTAAACACCTACAGGGACGGTGACTCCACCCCCTCCCTGGGCAGCCCATTCCAATGGCCGATCACTCTGTACAACATTTCTTCCTAATATCCAACCTAAACCTCCCTGGCACAGCTGAAGACCCAGCCCTCTTGTCCTACTGCTGGTTGCCTGGGAGCAGAGCCTGACCCCCACCTGGCTACAACCTCCTGTCAGGGAGTTGTAGAGAATGAGGAGGTCTCCCCTGAGCCTCCTTTTCTCCAGGCTCAACAACCCCAGCTCCCTCAGCTGCTCCTCATAGGACCTGGCAGCTCCAGCCCTGCCTGAAAAGAGGGAGGGG